GCTCTGCCGCCTCCCAGCCCGCTGGTGCAGCCACCAGATCGCCCTTCCCTCCCCGCGCTTTGAAGTGGTGGCTGCGGGCAGTTTGTCGCGGGTGGGGTTTGGACGTGGGCTCCGCTTTGTACCTGGTGTGTATTGCAAAGTGGCTTTTCTGAGAGCCTGTCGATTCGAGGCTAGAAAGATTTCCCCTGAGTGGGTGAGAAAGTTTCCCTTCCTGGCTTTGCTGTGCCCCCTGGCTTTGCTGGAAGTGCTCTGGGTCGCAGGATCAGGCCCGTGCAGTCTGCAGCTCCCCTTCAGATTCGGTGTGGCCCAAGGTGCCGGTGATGGGGTGGGCAGCACTGCTGATCCCCCTGGGCCACGGACCCCTGGGAAGATGTTGTGGTCCAGGGAAGATCTCTGGGATAGCGGGGATACAAACCATCCTGAAGCACTGCTCAGAAGAAAGGGTCCTTTGGGGATCTGTAGCATTGACCCTACAAATAACGAGCTGTAAAACCACCAGGAAAAAAAAATCCTTGAGGCTCCCCCCTTATATTCTGGTTCTGCATAGGTGTGGGGGAGCTGGGAGGAGGTGTCGGCTACTGAAGGGCTAAGGTGGTCTCATCTCACAAGTGATGAGAAGATACCAGCAGGTCACCCCCACCCCACCAGGTCACCGAGCGCCCTGGGGATCTGGCCCCAGGCAGGGCAGCTGGTGCAGAGCCATTGCACGCACCAGCACCATTCCTGCCCTCGCTTTCTGGCTTCTAGGGGCTGAGCGTGTCACGTCTTTCGGCTGTGTAGGTGCAGTTTCGTTCTGGGTGAGCTCAGCCCTGGCAAGGCGAGCGTGGTTGTGTGGTAGGGGAAGAAGAGCTTGCAGAAAGATAAGATAACGGATCCTCCCTTGGTGCTGACAAGGTTTCTATTATTTATTGATTAAAACCGAAGTGCAGCCCAGCTCTCTATGATGAGCAACCCGGTGCTTGCAGAAATGACCTCAGGGAAGCTAGGTTGAGTGGAGAGGGGGAAGAGAGGAGATTGCTGGAGGATGGGATGAGATGACTCACCGTAAGAATGGCCTGCAAATATCCTGATCCCCAAGGCTTGTAATTAACCATTCACCAGCTGCATGCGTTAGCTGCCCCAGAGACATGAGACATGCCTTGTCTGCTCGAACACACACGCTGATTTGGCTCAGGAAGATTTCTGTGCTCATTCAAGAGTAAAAACAACAACACAGGTCTTAAATGGGGATAATGACTATTTATATAAACCGTACATCTTTTTCCTATGCGATGGCAGTGGCTGAGGGTAGGGGGGAGATAAGGTCAGCTATGCAAACCGAGAGGATTTAAAAGTCCATGCCATGAAGGGCAGCTGGGGATCAGGAAAGCAGAGGAGTCTGGAGAGCTGCTTGTGTTTGTTGGCTTTTCATATTGCAAGTTGTCAGGGGTATCATTTTATCAACCCAGTTGTTGTGGATATCATTTTATCAACACACGCACCTCTGCCAATGGTCTCCACAGTCACTTGGCTGCCTGACCTGGCGTCTCGCGCCATGGGCTCTGGGGCGAGCTGGCTGAATGTGGCTGGGGCCGAGGGAGTAGGAGGAAAGGTGCAGGGGCTGAGTGCCAGGTGACTGCAAAGTCACCCTCCCGCCCTCTGCCATGGAAAACAGGCTTCCATCACGTTCAGTGGGCTTTGGATCACGCCGGCCGCTTGCAACACGAGGAGACCCCGTGGCGGGACTGAGTGGGCGGCGGCAGCACGTCATGAATTTGAGCACACATCTGCTCAAACATTGCAAACAAATGAGACACCGGCGTTACGGGCCTGAAATGTCAGAGGTAGCTGTACAGGGCAGCCCTGGCAGCGAGGGCGGCGGGGGGGGCCCTGCGGCTGCTCGGATCTGCAGCGCTGCCTTTGTTTCGAAACCCTTCCTCGCACCGGGGCACCCACACCGACACCGCTTATCAGGGCGAAAGAGTTGCAGATGAATGAACCCCATCGGAGGGTTTGCTTGCTGAGCCTTGTTTACTCGAGGGCCACACTCTGAAGGATTATTGAATCTGGCTGCTCAAGGGCTTTTGCCGTTCGTTTCTGCTCTGAAAAAGCACAGGTGGCAGACACGTGGCACTCCACTGACGTTTCCAAGCTGCTTCTGCTACCTGACTTCTTCACGTTCGCTTAGGAGATCTCGTGCTTCTGTGCAGCATACTCCCAGCCTGGAAACGGGCAAGGATTTAGCTGATGACAAACTTTGAGTAACAATGTAATAATAGGATTAATTCCTTTTCATTAGCAGTGCACTGAATGAAACGAATGCGGTACTTAACCGTGCAGAATAGCTCATGCGGGGCTATTCAGTTGTCAAACGCTGTCACAGGATTTCATTAAGTTTTATAGCTGTTATTTAATAGATTGGTTTCAGTGGGACTGTCTTCATTACCTCGCTGTCTTGTGCGTTGTGATTAATGACACAGTTGCAAGCATCCCCCTCTTGTACTTGTGTCCATTCAAAAATGCAAATAAAATATTTCTTCTCTTGTCACAGCACATATAGTAATGACAGATTTAGAGAGAACAGCTCCCGAGTACAGAAATCTTCATCTCAAATGCTGGAAACAGTGCTCGTGTAAAGCCTGGGGGTGGGAGTTTAGTCCCCGCTCTACTGGAGTTAATGGTTGCTATACTCCACAGAATTACATTCGTTAACAGTTTTTATCTGGATCCACGGGCTTTCAGCAAGTTAATGATTGTCAGCGGTATCAGAGGTTTTTCTTCCGGAGCCGAAGCCTTTTAAACAAACCCCTTTCCCCAGGGCAGCATTATCCCTCCCCAACTCCCCCCCAGCGCCCAGCACTGCGCGGCCCCATCCCGCTGCATTGCGAGTGCCGAGCTCCATTTCTCCTCCACTTTAATTAAATCAGTTTTTGGAAGCACAAACATTCATGTTTTCTTTTGGGTTTGTTGTTGTTTTTTTTTTGCCTTTCCCTAGGGGGATATGAAACCTTTAACTCGCAATATCCTGAGTGCTGCGTGGATGGAAAGCTCATTTCCCCGGAGAGGACCGAGGCGGAGCGGAACCTCGCCAGCCACTGTGAGAAGCAGAGTGCCAACCACAAACCCGACAAACCCCCTTGCGACCAGGGGTGTGGCACGGCTGCTGCGGGTCGCCTTCCCCTTGGGTGGGCTGCTCTTCTCTTGGGCTCCTCTGGGGAGCCCTGGTGCAGACTGTTTGAGCTTTCGCAGCCCGGGTCGGCAGCCTGTGTGTCAAAGAAGATGCTCTGTGTCTGCTGCTGGTCAGCATCGCCTCCACCTGGCTTCAAAATTAGGCAACAGAAGGAGGAAAAATACCCTGTCTAGCCCCAAAACTGCGTTTGTGACCTGTCTTTATCACACAGCCAGGCATCATGAGCTGTGAGCCACTCACGGCTGCCCAGGGGACATAAAACGGGCAGGGGACAGGCTGCCAGGCGCGTCAATTTTCCAGCAGACGGAGAAGCACGCTATGCCCATGCTTCCCCCGAGACCCCAGGAGGGATCTGAGGCTGGCG